GAGGGGGGGAAAATGAGAACCCTGATTGTTGGGGGCAATATGCTGACTCTCTGTAAACCGCTTAGAGAGGCCTGAAAGGCCTATGAAGCGGTATATAAGTCTACTGCTATTGCTATTGCTATAATTTCTCTTCTCCGTAATTTTTATCTTCATCTACTTTTACCATCTTTATAGTAAGAAAGCAGATAATCAGACTCAAATATATTTCTGCTAACATAAATACATTATACAAACTTTTAGATAACCCTGTAGCATTTTGAAATTGTGAGAACAGGAATGCATAGAGAAAAGTTTACTGATTATTGTACTTAGGGCAAATAATCTCTCTCTAAATCTAACATTAAGCAAAGCTATCCTATTCCATTAAAAATTACTTTTAGTAGCATTATCACCCTATTTATACAGGGTTGGATTCCAATTCGTAAGATTCATTGAAGTTAATGGGATAAGTTAGTCATAACCAGATTTAGCACAGTATGTTAATAACTTTTTCTGTATCTTCTAGTACAGAAATCCTAAACCAAGAATCACATTTCAAAGAATAATCCCAATAACCCCAAGACATTAACATAAATTAAAAATGCCATTTTTACCTCAGCTAGGATTCAGATGAAAATCTAATACCAACTAGTTCAATGAAATTCACAACAAAGTCCAATGTTTAAATTACCAATGTATTTAAAAAATAAAATGATGTAATAGAGTTGTTTCTATAATACACTATAAAAAACCACTGAACCCAAGTGTATTTTTATGACAGATAAAACAAATTGATTTTACCTAAAAATATATTTCAAACTTTAACAGATTTTTCTCTCCAAACATTATCAAAACAAATTAATAGAGAATATTGCCTAATTTCAAACTTTTTATATAGAATGTAAGTTTGATTTAAGATGTATATTTTTACAGTAATAAAAATTTTAATTGTCCATACTATTTATATACTGACATACACTTTTATACCGAAGATGTCAGAATGTACCACTGAAATTAAGGATCTACCAAATATTTGTTTCACATCTGAATATATATATAACAAGTATAAACTTCTGTTCTTATGATAAAACTCACAGTTTGTCATGAAGTAACTCTCCTAACTTCAATTCTAAAAAAGAATTACAAAAGAGTTAATTAGAAAACACTCCGAATGTTTTTTTATATACATCATTTAATCAAAAATAAATTCACACAGTGAAAATATATTTCTACAGGTAATCCTTGACTTATAACCAGTTGCTTAACAACCACATGAAGTTACAACCAACCCTCAAAGCTACTTATGACCTAATTTTGAAGTTTCAATGACTGCTTCCCCACCTGTGCTCTGATGACCAAATTTGGGGCACTTGGCAATCAGCCTGCATTTATGGCCATTTGCAGTGCCCTGCTGTCACAAGACATCAATTTACAACAGGTTTGCAGGAAACTGCAGTTTACTTCCAGTTTCCAGCAAAAACTGGCCCATTGTGAATGGGTTTGCTTTATGACCAGTCTTCGCTTTACGACTGCTGCAAAAAAGGATGTAAAATCGGATTAGTCATGTGACTCCCCCTTTATAATAATCGCAAATAATGACTATAATTACCAGGCCTAATTATGGTTGTAAGTCATGGGCTACCTTTACCGAAACGTCATCATAGGCCTATCAGGAGTCTAGTTCTGCATTATTCAAACATATAGATATCAGGAAGCCCAACTGCTTAGGAGAGTCAGTTTGGTGTAATGTTAAGGCATTAGAGTAGAAATCAGGAGACGGTGAGTTCTAGCTCTGCCCTAAGCATGAAGTTGGCTGGCTGATCTTGGCCCAGTCACTCTCCCTCTGTCCTAGGAAAAAGACAACAAGTCACTTCTGAAAAATGTTGGCAAGAAAACCGCAAGGACTTGTCCAGGCAGTCGCCAGGAGACAACCCTGACTTGAAGATACAAAATAAATAAAAGATAGCAGATTTTATGAGAACTGGGAATTGCTTCCTTCCTCCTCCAAATCTCTATCACTTGAACACCTACGTAGAATGCTAGGATGGGCCTCAGGAACAGAGTGAAAGCTCTGAAAAGATGCACTCCAGAAATGTTCAGTCACTATGAAAAAATTCCCAGAAAAAAACAACCTGGGAAGTTTTCAGAAGTGGGGAAATGTTCAATATTTCATTTTTATTGCACAAATGCCATGACACCAGTTGTGGAGAAGGAGGAGATACAAGACACAAAAGGGTTGTGTCATCTGATGCCATTAATGAACTGAGTGAACTGAGTTTTGACAATTCGGGGCAATCAAAAATATTTGATGCTTTCAAGTAATACCGCTCAATCCTCTCCAGAAAAATCTTTGGTTATATATTGCAAATTTTCTCATAATATTCTCTCACAATTCCTGTTTATGTTTAGAAGCATCATCTAAATTCCATATTCAGCGTGACTTACCTTTACAGCAATCTTCAAAATCTTGGGTGATGTCTATCCAGCTTGTGTTACCCTTTTCCATCTTCTCAGCTATATTCATCTCCCATCCTGAATCATCATCATCTATAGCAGCTTTCATAACCATGGCCTTAAACCTGCACAGATGTTAGGACATTTAAAAAATTAATCCTGGAAATTCTAGCAGTGCTAGCCAAAGGACAGTGGCAGTGCTTTAACTCAATTTTCTGGATTTATACAGAGTCCTCGACTTATGACCACAACTGAGCCCAAAATTTCTGTTCAGATATTTTTAAGTGAGTTTTGCTCCATTTTACGACCTTTCTTGCCACAGTTGTTAAGTGAATCACTCCAGTTGATAAGTTAGTAACCCAGCTGTTAAGTGAATCTGGCTTCCCCATTGACTTTGCTTGTCAGAGGGTCGCAAAAGGGCATCACGTGACACCCCCCCCCCACTGAAATGGTGGTAAGCATGAACCAGTTGCCAATCATCTGAATTTTGATCACATGAGCAAGGAAATGCTGCAAAGGTGGTAACTGTGAAAAAAACCTGGTCATAAGTCGCTTTTCTCATTGCCATTGCAACTTTGAAAGGTCACTAAATGAACGGCTGTAAGTCGAAGACTGCCAGTACAATGGACTGACCCCCCACCAGCTGGGTCATCACACCTCGCTTCTGATTCAGAGTATCTAGAAAGTAGAGCCAGAGACTTTAAAACACTCCTCCGATCTAGTAAGTTCTTAAAGCCTATCGCTGTGCTGAGAGCGGGCGAGGCTAGTTGGGATAAGCCTCTTTGTGCCCCATCAATGCCCAAATCGGCGAGGTGCCTCATCAAAACCCCAAGCAGAGACAGGCAGGCACAGTATCCCTTGATCCCAGACAGAGCAAGGAAGGATTCCTCAGCAAACCGAGTCTAGGGGACTCGGCCTCTCACCTGCCTGTCCACTGGGGATGGTGGCCACGCTGGAATGCCGCTTCTCAGCCCCGCAACTGCTATTTCTCTAGCCGGCAGCGCGTGACGTGGGGTGGGGAGGAGAAGAGAAGAGAGGTGGGCGTCTCTTACTCGGTCTCCTCCGAGCCTCTGCCCTCCGGTCTCGCGCAGCCGGCTGGAGAAAACACACATACACAGCTACTTCCCTTTCCCTTCTCCAGCGTAAATCATATAGCCGCAACAGCGCAGGCAGAACCTTCCGCTACCGCGCTTGCGCAGAATTCTATTTACTTGACGAACCCCGGATGAGAGGACTCCAAGGGTCTGTGGAACCCTGTTTTTCCATAGAGATAAAAAGAAGAGAAGGAGCCGCAGAATACAGACCGGATTTCCTGCCGCGGTTCTTTGTTGGAACTCTCCGCTCCTCTGAATGGTAACCACGGTTGACAGTGCTGAGTTTTCAAACTCAGATCTGGATTTCTTTTCTTCTTTTTATCTATACGTGTCCGAGTGTCTACATTTTTTTTTCATTTTAAAATGTAATGTACTGTTAATTTTTCTGCACATTATGTCTATTTAAGTAGGTAAAATAGTGAAATTTAAAATTGATCTTTTGTAGATCTTATTTGCTTTTTTATGCGTGTAGAATCTGGGCTTATTTGAGTTGGGTTTATTTGAATGCGAAATCTTAAGTCATTTTTTAGAAAATCCCGCCGGCAACTATTTGAATTGCTTAGAGGAAAATCGGGCTTTTAAGTGTAATAGTTTAGAAAAACCAAGTTTTGCCGTTCATTTTAACAAACCAACTCAGAATTTAGAGAAATTCTCGGATTTTTCCCCCCCAATTGAATCTTTATGCCAACACAAGTCATTTTTCAGTTCTGCAGTCTTTATGCACCACTGCATTGTCTGATTTAATAATGACAGCCCTGCTAATAATTAAATAGGTGTTTTTTTTCCATATTGTAAGTTGCAGCCTGTGGGAATTAGTCTCTTTTTTTTTTGCATGATGTGTTCTACCCTATGGCTAATTGATCCCTGATTTACTTACCTCGGTTCTCAAAATTCCTTGTATTATAAAAAAGGCACTTTGGCTGGTTTTATCCAGTTGTCTACTTTTACTCTTGTGTTATAAAAACTCAGCCCGGGTTTAATTAATGGCCTCATATATTATCCACATGTGGTAAACTGTGTAGAGAGTTTTGGTATTTTCTAAACTTTCTTTGTTTGCCTGCAGATGTTTCATTATCTGATTAGGAACATCAGTGCTCATCAGTGTTTTTCTCTCAACCTTGAACAGGGTGAAAGTGAAGCAACCAAGCTTCTAATGTAATCCAGAGCTATTATATTTATTTTGCAGGTGTGGGGGGTCTTAGTAGCAGAAAAAAATAATATGGAAACCCAGTAATTAAATCTAGTAATCATTAAATCATAGAGGATGAAACTGAAAAAGGTAGTTTAAGATACAGGATGGTTAGTTCTGATTTTTCTTTGCTTCTAACCATACATCCACATACTTAACTTAAATGCAATTGGCTGATTTGTGCCCTATTATATAATTCAAACATAACCAACTTTGTGAAGCCAATTGGATATGATATATCTAGTTATAAATACTGTGTTATTTTTAGAAGATTTATAGTGTTACTTGCAATAAGAAACTGCCATATAACCTGCAATTAAATGTAAACATATTCAGTGTAATACAATAAAATGCAAATGACTGGAAGTTTAAATAGATGAAAGGAATAATGCTACAAGTATTTTTAATGTGATTTCAAAAGAACTAGAAGCCTGGAAAATAAAATTAAGCTTGGCATTCACTTCTGAGCATATACCATAAATGTACAACCTTTTCAAAGTCAAGAGTTCATAGAGCTGATGTGTGATAGAGTGCAGGCAAACCAAAAGATTAATATATCCAAAAATAAAACCTTCCACCTCCATAAATTGTTCATCTCATCCGAATTCTAATAGAACTGCAGCTCACACAAATATGGATTGCTATCACTGTTTGTTCCTGCTGTGCCTAAAAAAATCAAGTAGCGAAGTCAGAAGTTTTTACACTTGGTGCTATAAAGAGCAGTTTAAAGTACCGTAAATGAATAAAATGAGTCTGAAAATTCCTGACAACAGATTACAGGAATGATATAATATTAAGCTTCCCAAGTAAAATGATTTTAAATTTATTTCTAGTGAAAAGTGTTTATATTATGAATTTGTAAGGTTTTATTGTTTTATTTCTTAAATTGTGATTACTAAAAATGAATATTATATTTCTTGCCCAACTCTAACCATAATGAAATCATGAGTTTTGTTTTGGTTGGGAGAGGAAGTGATTTGGAGGGTATCAAAAGCAATATTATAATTTTTAAAGAAACATATTTTTTAAATATGTTATAAACTTTTAATACTTCAGAAACTTATGCTGATATTAACTGGTCAATGATGTATAAAGAGGCTTAATTATGCAACCTTCCTGTGTGCCAGGAAGTCCTAAAACATGATTCTGAGTTACAGAAACAGACTTTATTTTTCAAAATTCAGTATGTACATATATAAGCTAATTCAGTAAAACAAATGTATTGATGAGTTGTACAATGCAGTCATGTAAGCAAAATATTACATTGCAACCAGACATCACACCAATTGCCTTGTGGAATTTTATCCCAAAAAGAATAAATAAAGCTGAATCATATAGTAAGATTAATGCCACATTAAGAATAGTTGTAGAAAAATAAAACATGTTGCTTACAACATCAAGAATGTATAAAAGATCCAAGAAAAATGTACAATCGTGGGAAATAAGACAACCTACTACAATCTATTATTAGCACAATCATTTTCTCCCCAAAGGCTGTGCTATTCTTTACCATTTTTCTTATTCTGGAATAGGAAACATTAAGAAACCAAGTAAGGCATACTTTTCCTCTTTGTAATTCTTTTGAAATTTCTGAAAGATATGATCTGTTTTTCTAACATTGAAAGGTTCTAAAGTTTCTACAATTCAACCAAAAACAACATTGGAAACTTCTAAGCAAAATAAAGTTTTCCAGAAATAATATATCAAATTAGAATGAAGGTAACAATAATGCAGTTAAAGCCTATTATAAGCAAGCATGATTTAAAGCACAAAGAGAACACCAGCTATTAGTTATGCAGTTGGTGATCTAAAATGTAGCAACACATTTTAAAGTACTGGTCCCACAAGGGAATAATGCCCTTTGTTACTTTGTTCTCACTGCTGTTCTCATACATCAAGACAGAACCACTATATATCTACATGCCTCCTATATGATGAGCCAGTCTCACAAAGCAAATTGGAGTAGGAAAGATCTACTGTACTCTTACCATACCCTTTGTAGAAAGTTAGCACCCGCCCCCTCTTCCAGAACAGTTAAATATTTTAGGAAATATTAAAAAGTCAGAATATTATTATCCCCTAAAGGAGAAATAGAGAAATATGCTCTTGGAGACAGAAAGCAGCCCCCCGTCTTTCTTAAAAGCCCGCAGCAGATATTTTGTGCCCATTGAGAAAGATTGGGCCAGCCTATCTACAAAACAAAAAGCTCCAGGATGATGGGATTAAGACCCCTCAAAACATAAAAGGATTAACCCTCTACCATCTAGCAGCAGAGTTCACCACACTGCATAATCTCCCGAGGACATTGCATCACCCTCCAGGCTTCAACCAAACTTAGTTCAGACAATCTACAGAGCCGGCTATGACCTCTACAACAACCAATAGAATACATGTGCACTTCTTGCACAGGAGCAGGAAGCTCAAATTCAAAGCCCAAGAGAAGGCATAAAAAACCTTCACTCAACTCCATGTAGTCAGCTACCCAGAATCACATGTGTTTGATACTTCTGTTCATCATTAAACCATCTTTCCATCAGCCTCCATGTTTCCAGTGTGTGTCTCCCATCTTGGAACTGAACCAGATGGATATTTCTTCCAACACTTTGTATTAAGGGATTTTGTACAGTCCCATCTCAGACCTTTTAAATAGGTTTGTGGGAATTTGGAAAAAAAGATGTCAGCAGATGATGCTTATTCTATTTTCCCATACTAGAGAGATTTGTGAATGTGCTGATCCAGTGATATTGTGGCTGTGGTAGTGTGCTAGCTGCTTGATGAGGATCATGATGAAAGTATGTGGGTAAATGAATTGCTTATCCACAAGTGTGCTGTGTTTACAAGACACATTTATACATGGATCATTTAATGACGGTTTACTGTTAGTGTTTTGAATTCATATGTCACAATGAACCATATCACATGGGCTGAATTTGGATGACAGTGTAAGCTAAAAGGTAGCTAGTTTGTTGTTCAGTTTATTATGCAGACACAGCCTTCGTTTTGGACATATTTTGGCATTAACACTCGGAAGAAAAGAACAAATATGCAGACTTCGATTAACAATTTTGGCATTAAATGCCTTGGTTACACTGGATGTCTGGAGTACCTTTCTCCAGATTGTTCACTAGTTTATTTGAGGTCAGGTATAAGAGGCAGTAGAAAAGTAGTCAGACAGGAAAGCAACAGGAATGGATGAAATACTGAATTAACTGTTAAATCTACAGGGGGAAAGGCAATTAAAATGCTAATAAGTCAATGTAAAAATAGGGAACAATATTGTGTGCCTGGAAAAGATCAATAGTGTATACTTATGGATACAAAAGAAGAGATATGCAAGAGAATGTGCAAATTATCAAGCCACTGGTCTAGTCTTCATTCAAGCAATGTTTTACCTAAGAAAAAATGAAGTCTTCTAAGGAAATGGCAAATGAATAGATTTCAAAAAAGCAAAGGAATGTAACATCAGATAGCTAAGATATGATGGATAAACTGGACAGCAAGAAAATTTAAGCAGGTTTACCTTTGCCTTACCAACTACAGCATGACTTCTGATTGTAGAGAACATGCTAGAATATAGATTATATTAAAGCTAAAAAAGGTGCCAGAACACCTGATTACAGTGGTTTTCTCAAGTATCTTTTTAATGAAAGACATTATACAAAGTAGACATGAATGAATGATTTGGGACCGTGTCATAGTATATACCAGTATGTATATTATGGTTTCGTATGTGTAGCATAGAGACACAAAGATGCATGCTGCCGTAATATCTTTTAATTTATTCAGTAAAGATAAGTGACAACATTGAAATAAGAAATGGAATTTAAAATGGAGGTCAAAACACCTAACAATGGGATACATGTAGATGATACCATTTTGAGAAGTGGAAGTAAAAACTTAGAAGGTAATGAAAGTAAACAATATTAATATAAATATATGTCATATTTCTATATTAATATATTACAATGCTTAGTGAACTCATAGCCCAAGAAACTACTTATTTGTGGCATCAGCTATGTTCATTAGACAAGTCTGATTTGAGCCAACCCTTAAAATTAAAACTTTGTCCCCCCTCACTCTAGTGAAGGCCATGTTATGTGTATTCCAGGGGTATATTGGTTTGTTTAGTGATTAAGGCACTAGGCTAGAAAGTAGAAGACCATGAGTTTAGGTCCTGCCTTAGCCATGAAAGCCAGCACCTACCTCCTATTTTCTTCACAACCACCATGTAAAATTGATTGGGCTGAGAGTTACTGCCCCAAAGTCATCCAGTTGGCTTTAATGTCTAAGGCAGGACTTGACTCTTGGTCTCCTGGTTTTAGCCTGGAGCCTTAATCTCTGGACCAAACTACTGAAAGCAGTGGGAAGTTGTAATTAATATTGTTGCTGTATAGATTTAGTGAGGTCATGTGTAAGGGAGAATGATACATAAACCAATTATTTCAAAATTAAGTCAATTATAATAACTATTAAAATGATTATTAGCTAATAAAATTAAGCAGAAATAAAAGCAATAAGGATATAAGACACTGAAATAGTGAGTAAATGGACAGCATTTAGTAACAGTTATTGTTAACTAATAGTGGTGCAGTTATTGAATTTAATTTTCATAATGGCACCAGACGTCCCATGACTTTAGAATTCTTGTTTGAGGCAACATGAAATAAGCACTCACAGGTGTGGAAAGCATACTTAAAAATTCGGAACACTCACAAAGGATTACCCCACAGAATGTATTCTGAAAACTAAATTTAGATTACAGTTTAGTCAGTTTAAGACACCCATTTTAACTAGACGAGTGGGAATCGTGATCTCTATATACCCGTTTCAACTGAAGGACAACTTTACTGGATTATCCAGCGTTTTACTGGATTATGTATATAAAATCCAGTATATAAAAAAATAAAAAAATAAGGGCGGGCAGCAGCAGCACGTGCTGAGAGAAAAACGGCTTAATCCGCTCTCTCCCTCCCCGCCATCCCTTGGCGGGAGAGACTAAAGACCGCAGTTCAAGGGGAAGGGCGTTTAGCCGCTCGGGCCGCCCTGGGCGGGGATCACGCGCGCGCTGCGGCTGGGCACGCGCGCGGCGGGGGAGGAGGCCGGGGGAGCGCGGTGACGTCGCCAGGATGCGGACAGGTTTCTGCCGCGTCCTCGTTCTCCCGTCGGGCGTGTGCGGAGAGTCCGGGCTCGGCAACATCGGAGCCGCGGCGGCCGCAGTCGTTGCCTCTCGGCGGGAGTGGCGATCGACGCCTTTGGCGCTGGGTCTGGCCCCGCTTCTTTTCACCTGTCTCCCTCCGGAGTCCGGCCTGCCCGCTCTCCCTCCATCTTCTCGTCGAAGGTGATGCAGTGCTGAGGTACCACGCTCGGACCTTATAAGGAAGATCGCCGCCCTCTACCTGAAAAAGGTGACTGACATAGTCCGGGGTGGTGGAAGGACGCTCGGCTTGACTTGTCCCTTTGACAAGCTTTGCCTGTCGGCGGAGCTTTCCGATGGTTTCTGACCTCTGGCGGCGGCGGCAACAGAAGCAAACGGGATATAAATATGGAAAGGGGGCAGTTTAGCCGAGGGAATTGGTGGTCTCTGGAAATGGACACTGAAGAGCAGGTTCGTCATCGTGGTGATCTCGCTAGAATAGAAGCTGTAATTCTGGAATGGCTACCTCTCGGCGGGAGGGGGGAGGCTTACACACACGCACCACACAACACAACATTTTCTCTCCAAGGAGTATGATATTTATCAACGTTTATTTAGAAGAGTTCACCTTCATTAAATCACTTATGTCACAAGGTCTTTTTTTGGGGGGGGGGCGCGGTTTATTTTCTGGGATAAACTAGACTAGATTTGAAACCTTACATCATTGCGCCTGATTAGGATTTGCAGTGAAATAATGTCGGGTGGCATTTCTGTTTATTAAACAGGCATGACTTGTTAGTTTTTCACACTCAGTTGGGGGAACAGGGTGTTCTAAAAATAGCCCATTTGTTTTTTTTAACTTTCTTTTCTTTGCCACAAAAAAGGTGATTTATATAGAAACAGCAATACAATTAAAAATGGTTAAAGCAGTCCAAATAGAAGCCAAGGATATTTTAAAAACAAATCTTATCATTGACACACAGCAGCGTTCAGTGTGTATGGATGATAAGCAGGATGAAATTGTATATGGTTAGGATTCCAATACAGCTCTGTAAAACCCAGTTTGCTCCCATGGATGTTTGTGCAGGTGTTTCCCATGCATACCCAACTATTCTTTTCTGCCTAATGCCTGCTATAAGTATTATGGAGCATGACACACTTATGTATTTGTGGTGAGGGGGATCTGGAGAAAAGTGTGTAAATAATGCACAGTTTTTCAGTTTCTCCTAATGTCTAGCTGCAATTGCTTAGGTATAGTGAAAGACTCCCGCTGTTGATGTGCTTGGCTTTGACTCAGCAGATGTACACAGCCATTGTAATGTATAAAGTCTAGTTTATGTCTCCGTTTTATATAGCTTGTTCAAGAAACCATGATTCAAATCATGGTGTCATTTGATGTGTTCCTTTAACTGCACATGGCTGGAATGAACCATATAAGATATTTCTAGGTAAAAGAAGGCATGAGGAAAAGCCAAACATCTGTTTCTTGTTATCATTTGAAGGTGCACAACACAAGATGATCTTAATTTGCATCCAGAATTATTCTAGCCCTACAGTTAGTTTACATAGAGTGAATGAAGCCTTAGCCTTCTACACCCCATGTTGCTACAAAACATTTATGTTAAGCAGATGTTGGTTCAGTTGAAATAGCAACTGTAGCACGGCTTCAAAATCTTTGCATACTTATGACAGAAAGCATTTCTGAGGAAGGTTTTTGAATCTCATTGCCAAAAACTGAAGCCTTTATTTACGAATACCGTGTTTTATTTAAGATTCATATTGCTTGAAAATCACAATAAGGAGAGGTCAGAGAAAAGCTCTGGTGAACCACTAGTTTACATAGGGTCTTTAAGCATGCTTTGGTGATTATGGGAGGCAAGTACTCCTTGTAATAAATCAGATGCTGACTTCAACATAAGTACAAGATATTTTATTTCAAATAGTTTTTCTCATGAATGTAAATGTATATGTAAATTTATACGGTAAAACTCAGTAGTCATCAGTGTTCTTGGTTATACTTGGGAGAGGAGAAACTCTGGGGAACTGCTCAGGGAAGTAATAATAAAGCAAAATCATTTCTGTTCCTTCCATTTATGGAATTCTTAGTTGAATCGGGGAGCTTTCCATGAGTGAGAGGCCAAATTGATATAACCAGTAATTGGTAAAGTCCATCTTTTGGTTCTCATGGGCTCCTGCAATTCTTTGCATAATATTTTTTTAAAAATAAAATTACATTACAAAATGTACATTTATAAACACTCAACAAATGGGATAATCAACATAAGCTGTTGGAAGTAGAAGTTTGGGTCTTTGTGTTTGAATCAGTGTTGACATTGGGTGATTGCCTGCACAAGTCCCTGCAACTTTCTTAGCAGTAGTTTTAGAAGTGATTAGCCAGGGCATCTTCCTACAGCTGAAAGGAGATGACTAATCAAAGATACCTAACTTCATGCCTAAAGTGGGACTAGAACTCAGTCTCCTAGTTTGTAGCCTGGTTACTTTAATTACTATACTAAAATGGCTTTTGAAATTAATATACATGTTGCAATATTTAGAATTCTTTCCACATCCTATTTTATTACTTTGAGAAAAATAAATTCATGATAACAAGCAAATGCCTCTTACAAGTTAAAGAGCCTCCCTTCCCTCTTTTGGACAAAAGGATAATCTTATGCAATAGAGTTAAACTATTTTAACAGTGAAGCTTGTCTGGAGTAATTGTTGAAAACTATCTTATACCTTATTCTTTAAATAGTTTCAGATTCTTTAAAACAATGGAGAAAATGAATATGTGAGGCTGTAACACAGTAGGCAGATGGATTTCACTCTCCTTACTGTGTCTCACCTTTGAAGACACACATATAAAGGAGCATACAATTGTGCTGTGTGAATTTAATTATAGCACTGACTACTTGTTGCTTGCTTTATCCTAATATAGTAATGTTTGGCTGAGATAATGACACTTGATATTAAGAATGTTTTCTAGGAAATAATTATAGCCTTCATTTTTTTCCTTACTAGAAATATAAAATATAAAATCATTTTTCTGTGTGGAGATTTATTTTCTATGGCTTAATTCATTTATAATGTTAAAGTTGATCCCTAGTCCTGAACAGGTAGTTCTCACATGACTAAAATTGGGACAAAAAATTCAGTTGTAAGTCATGACTATTGTAAGTTGAAGCACCCATGTGACAAGACTGATTTTATAACTGTTTTTATGATGATTGTTAAATGAATCATGTGGTTGTAAGTGGAACTCTCCTGATCGGTGTTTTGGGCCAGAAACCATTAAAAGAGTCACAAATTGTAGTCACATGACCACGGGACACTGAAACTACAGTAGTTAGCCATTTTCCAAATGTCCAAAATGCAGTTACCTGTCCATGGGATGCACAGTGTTTGTGACAACCAGAAGAATTTTACAGACTGTAAAACACACTTTTTGAGGTTATCATAACTTTGAACAGTCATTAAATCAGCAGACATAAATTGGGGACTATGAGGGCCATGGCATGAGTGGGGATGTTTCATTCTGTTTTTGTGAAGACTCAAGTAAGTCCTTGCTACTGATCACTTGTTTGGCGGCTGTTCAAAGTTAGACACACTGAAGAGTGAGACTTAGGATTGGTCCTCAAAGTTGAGCCTATTGCAGCTTCCTGTGATCACATGATCACCAACTGCAACTTTCACAGTAGGCTCTTGAGAAGCAAAGTCAGTGGGAAAACCAAAAGAAAGTCACAAGTCACTGTCACATGATGTCATGCTTAATAAGGCTGCCATTTAGTGATAGAGTTGTCGGTCTCCATAGTGATAGGTAAGTAAGAATTACCTGGAAACAGTAACCTTTGTGCCTGCAGAAATTCTAGCTTATTGAAAATAATGCCCACATTAGAGCAATTTTATTTTAATGAAATGAAATATTTAAAGATTTCTGCCTGTATGCTTTTACTGCTTTTGAATACCTTATCAGCAGAAAAGCCTGATATGGACCACTCAGATCATCCATACAACTAGTGTAGTGTTATATATTCCTGACAATAAATCTTGAAAGTTTATTCAACTCCTCTAAGTTAATTTACTTTAAGTAGAGAGCAAGATCTCAATACTCTCTTCAGCAGATATGTTTGGCAGTTTAATTGTCTAGAACCATTTTACTCTTATCTGGAAGTTGAATCATGGCACTAGACTTTTTTTCTTTTGAAACATTTTGCTGCTTACCAAAGTAGTTTCTTCAGTCTGAAGAACTAAAGTCAGACTGAAGGAGCTTCTTGGATAAGCAGCAAAATGTTTCAAACCAAAAAAGAAAAAATCCAGTTAACCATGATTCCGCTTTCAGATAAGTCTACTTGGATGATTGAGAATCTTCATAGATATTTTACTCTTAGTTTCTACATTTATTTTATTGACAAAAGGTAGCTGCCTAGAATAGCTAAAAAGACTAATAGAGGCAGTAATAGTAAATAATATTATTAAATAATATTAAACTTGTATACTGCCCAACTCTCCTTCAGTGGCTGATTACAAAGGAATTGCAATAAAATCAATAAATAGTAGCTAATTGAAAAAAATTGTTTCAATTATTCTGTGCTAAGTTCTTTTCAGTCAGCCATTTTTCCAATCAGAAGATTATATATTACCCAAGGAAGATACTTTCTTTGTTGTTCTAGTTTGCTATGGAAACTCTAGGGAAATTTCATAAATGGCATGTATACCACAAAAGTACAGTTCAAGCTTTGATTTGAAATATTTTTTAAAATGTTTTCAAATCAGACATATAAGCAAATTTTTTGTTGAGTAAAAATACAACAGTGTTTGTGAAAAGGAAAGCATAATACCTTATAAAAATAAAATTCTAAGGTTATACCGGTGCTTATTAGCATATAGAAGAAATTATTCCTCTTTACAAAGATTTTGTTTCCTTCAGAAATATTCTGAAGACAGAATTTGGCAGTTCTAGAATTTTAACTTTTTATATACAGAATATACACAATTCCGTATACAAAATATATTAGGCTACAAGCCAAAAGAAAAAAAGAAAATTTATTTTGATTGGGTTTAATTTAGCATCTTTAAGGCTGGTTAGTTTTATGTGAGATTCTCCTAAAGAAAAGCTTTTGTCTATTGTGAAATTCTATTTAAAATAAATGTTGTGAAATCTTGAAGCCAAACCAGTTCTTTTCTTAGGGATGTTGTATATGCTGTAACTCTTATATTTGCAAGTGTATAGGTAATAATCTCCTTTTGCTCATTTTTCATTTATCTTATTTTATGTTTTGATGACTATTTCTGCAGTCCTTGGCTATATAGGTAGTCCTTGACTTACAACAGTTCATTTAGTGACTGTTCAAAGTTACAACAGCACTGAAAAAAGTGACATGACTGTTTTCACACTTAAGACCATTGCAGTATCCCCATGATCATGTGATCAAAATTTAGATACTTGGTGACTAATTCATTTGCTGTTGCTTTGTCCCAAGGTTCCGTGATCACCTTCTGTGACCTTATGACAAACAAAGTCAATAGGGAAATCAGATTCATTTAATAACTGTTTACTAACTTATCAACTGCAGTGATTCACTTAACACTTGTGGCAATAAAGGTTGTAAAATGGGGAAAACTCACTTAACGAACGTTTCACTTGACAACGTAAATTTTGGGTTCCCTTGTTGTTTTAAGTCGAGAACCTCTCATAAAGAACATAAACCATGAAATAGAAATGAGTCTAATTAGCCAACTAGTGAGGTTAGATTGATGGTTTCCTGCCAACAAGGAATGGGTGTAGATGTGCATGTTACAGTAATGAAGAAACGAGTGCTCATATGTAGTTTCCAATTTGGGAATGTTTGCATCCCTTCTTTTTCCCTAACCAGCTGCAATAATTGCAGTCAAACCACTAATTAAATATAACTAAAATTACAGCCCTAAACTGTATTTCTTGAGCCATTTTAATGCAGTTAACAATTTTTTGAGATGTGTCTGCAAATTATGTGTTTTTTCTTAGCCCCATTTATGAAGTATACTTATTACATCAATTTCATCTGCCAAATAGTCTGTGTACATACTTGTATACACTTTCTTCTTTTTCAGATAATATGTTGATATAAACAACTGATCTTTTTGTGATAAAATCTCAAAAATCTCTCCAGAATGAATAAATTGAAAATGGCATCAGAAAAAAGGTAATCAATAAGAAAATGATTTCATTGATTTTTTTTTAAATTCTGGTTTGTAAGAATGAGATTGTGTTTTTCCTTTCTCTTAATCGTATTTTCATTTTTTTTCATATCCAAAGATTTTAATCTTTGAAGTTTATGTGTGAAGTATACTCAAAATGATAATGTTCCAGATTATCTGATAGCAAACCTGATTATAGGAAAGTTAATTGAAAACAGATATGTGCATTTGAAAAACTAGTATTCATACACCATGGCTTTCTCCAAATATTTAACATAGAAGGCTTTCTTACAAAAATAAAAAAGCCTAATATTTTGCCATGAAGTTTTAATATCTTACAATATCTTCTAATGATAAGAATCTTTTTGAAGTTACCTTTGTTTATGACAATGATACATATTTTCCTAATCCCAAATCTGATTCATAAAATTGAACTAATTATTTTCTTTTTATGCCCAAGTGATAGATTTAATGTATTTTAATATTCTTTTTATGTAATAATATTCAAAATTATTAACATTTTTAGGTTTAATTAGAAAATGAACATTGAGGAGAATTCTCTGACAAGGGACTATGCTCAGTAGATTTTTTTGTAAAATTAAAATTATTACTACCTTTTTATATATAATTACAAGAATAAGTAAAAGAAACTTGGTAATATATGTGGAATCTCTGTTGTATTTGAACTTGTTAGATGTGCAATATATTAAAAAATATAAGACATGAAGCAAAATTTTAAGTGCTGAGCATTTAAAGAGCATCCACTAAGCAGCCATCATACGTCTCTTTATTTTAGATTTTCATTCTGTTTGTTTTTGTTGAGCATTTTTGTGTTGTGCATAGCTTTGAATTTTCTGTCCTTGGTTAGGGCTGTTTATTTCATCTTCTGTGTAGATATTGGCAGTACTGTATGTAACCCATGACATTAAGACACAGTTTGCTCGAGTTCTATGCAATATGTATTTCAAAATAATACAGATATATAGTATTTGTATTTAGTATTTTTTTTTTACATTTCTCACCTGAGAATTGCTTTCAGCTAAGCCAGTGATAAGGTTACGACATCTGTAATGATTATTTTTGAAGAAGACCTGATTTTTGCTAGCAGATATATTTTTGAGAAATAGTATGGAATAGGATACATACACTTGACAATGTACCACAGTAGATAAATCTTAAATAATATTATTTGCAAAATAAGGAAATTTAAATTTTCTCATTCTAGGAATCAAATATTATGTTCCAGATGAGATTGTACCATTTGCTTCTTGCATTTTATTAATTTGTAAGATACTCTGTTCAGAATATTTTCCTTCCTATATTTTCACATCTCATATCAATTACTTATGTTTGCATATTTGTCAGATTTCAATTTTTGTGTAACACCAAAATGTTTACACCAAACTTTTTTTTTTTTTTTTTGCTATTTCATCATCTTTTGAGGGTATTCTGTGGGACATAATAGGTAGCAGAGTATCAGTAAGAGTATTTGTGCATATTTTGTCACAAACCCTTAATGCAATATCTGTACATTTAAGAAATATTTTAAAATAAAACAAACTACATTTGTTCAAATTGTTTGAAATAGAACAGTGAGTTGTATTTTAACTTTACGGATTAAATTAAAAAATATAAAAAATAGAAATACAATAGTTAGAAAATAGTTTTTATTTGTTCCTTTTCCCAGCTGTTTTATGTACTACAAAAGGTATAAGTACCAGGAAATATTGGGTGAAAATAATTATAGCTGCCTGTGTAACTTGCATGCAAAGTAATCACATTTTCTATATGTAAAGATAATAATATAGGCTGGAAATTTTGTCTAATCATGGCTTTCTAGTTATGTAAAATAGGTATGCTCACATGAAGGAATGCCATATTTGTATAATGACTCTTTTATTGTTTTGAAGAAATTTTACTTCCACAGTAAAATGTTTTACTATTACATTTATTCTAGAATCAGTCTTCTGAATTCTGTAAAATAATCTCAAGGTTTCTGGGTTTAGTCTTGAAGAGGAACTGTGGCCTTATGACATGAAGTGGTTGCCCTGGTAACATACCATATAGCAGTTGTGTCTTGATCCGGCTCTAGAATTAGATCACTGTTTAAGGAATGATTAAGCTATAGGTTACGCTTAGTTTTCAGTTTGGTTGAAGGCATTTTTAGAAGAAAGAATGCAGAAATGAGGCGTAGTCATCGATTCCATGTTACAGTCAGGATGTTTAAACCACTTGGAAAGTGGGTCTCTCTGGACAATTCCGCTCAGTCTTGGCAAGAGGGAAATAATTCTAGGTAAGTTGGGAAGCCTGGGAAAGGGTAAGAATATTGAACTAAAGAAATATTACTCAAATACTTGAGCAAACTATCAGATGCTCAATGAATTCATATCAGTACTAATAATGGCTAGAATTTCCTTAATCCTGTTTTTTTAAACCATGGAAGAGAAACATGCATATATTTTAAACAATTAAACCAATTGTTTTAAATGAGATATTTCTGTTTATTACATGGCCAGTCTCGCAATGTAGTTTCACAGGAAAAATGAAAATCATTTCTGAAATATACTGTCAAAACTTTTAAATTAAATTAGTTAGATTTTTTTAATGCTGTCCAACTCATAATGGGTATAGAATTGAATGGAGCAAATTGGTTCAGGGCCTAGGAGGAAAAAATAGGCTTTAAGGATGTTAGGCCAGGGTGGTAGCCATATAAATCTCAGGGGGAATGCTGTACCAGAGGGCAAAAACAGTAGCAAAGAAGGCCTACTTCTTGTCTTGCCTGATCAGGTGATATTGTTTAATTGATGGGGCCCAGAGCTTGCCAACAATGTCCAAACAAACAAACCGTCACTATGAAAGTCCTTAAAGTAGCTAGGCCATGTGCCATTGACAGCTTTAATAAACAGTGCCTCACTTAGCAACTTCATATAGATGTTAAACAACAGGAGTGAAGGTGTCAAGCCTTGTATCACCCTGCATAGTACAGGGACCTGGCCAACTTCTTCCTCATTATCAATATTGACTAGAACTTACCTTGGAAAAAAGAATATCACAGAAAATCACAGAAACATCATGTTCCCCGAATCTAATCAAATATTTTATAGAAGAATACCATGGTTGATGATATATCAAAGGCTGCTAAGAGATCAAGAAGAACTAGAATGGTGGCATTCCGTCCTGACTCTGGTAGAGTTCATTGAAAAGTGACCAAGATTTCTCTGTATTATGTCTAGTCTGAAACTTGAGTGAAAGAAAAGAATAATTTGTTTTCTCCAGGATTCTGAAAATGTAGCCCAAACACTTTCTCAACAATCTTCTCCAAAATGGGAAAGTAGAGACTGCTCAGAAACTTGTGGGCATTAGAATCTACATTGCATTCATATTCTTTTTATACTGTGTATTTTGTTTTAATGTGAGATTCTGTGATACTGGTGAATATTTATGTCTCTTTCTATAAATGTATAAGAATGATTTGCACAATTAGCTAAAGAATTAATAATGTGTTAAACAAGAAAGGTGTATATGATATAATCTGTAAAATAAATTATTTTAAATATAGCTAGATTTTAATATGTTCATTTTAACTCACTGTGCTCCTGAATTGAAGGAAATGATTGTGTAACAAATTACAAATTTAGACCATTTTCTAATGTGCAGTAGAATTGGTTTTGGTTTATAATAGCGGGCCAAAGAATGTTAATCTGTTATAGGTTTGATAAATGAACTCTTATTAAACAGTTTATTCAGGCTGGCCATATTTTGGTATATGTATACAATAAATTATCATGTTTATTGTTACAAGATGGTAAGTGGAATGTCTTGCACTGCCAATTCTTATAATGCAGTACCTGTTACGCTGAATTTCTTACACATTATGCAACTCACTCCCAAATTTTATTTAGATGTGATTTTTCTCTGTGGTTCTCTAGACTGTTGCTGATGAAGTAATATAAAGGAATGGAGTATCATCAGCTTTGGGGAAATCTATATTTGTACAAGTAAAAAAAATTAGGAAAACTCTTGGATGGCTAAAAATGGGTAGATGAGATATAAATATATTTATACTTGGCATAAAGCAATGGTTCCCCAACTTTTTTCTTTTTTTAACTAGAGATTGTTTTCCAGGAAAACAATTTTTCCATGGACCGATGGTGGCAACAGGGGAAGGGAATGATGGAATGGTTTTGTATGCTACCTAGATCCCATGCATGATGCTTCTCTTGCTTGCGCAGCCCAGTTCCTAACAGAGGGAGGGGGGGACACCTCTAGCATAAAATATTCATTGAAAATTCAGTGAAAAGAGATCTATTGGGCAGAAAGAATTCTAGTAAAATGTCCTGAATTGGACCGGGACTGGTTGATATCCTGAAAATGCATATTCTATACTGATTGCATAATTTTAGATCCAGCTTTGATAGTTATCTACAAAATAATGGGTGGCCTTTTATTAGTTATATATTCTAGAATTTGTTACGAAATTTAAATTTAAACTAAGGCACTTGCTAACAGTAAAAATATTTAATGCCACAGTTATTTTGACACGTTGGGTTTTGTGTAAACACTAATGATAAGTAGCTTATTTTTTATGAAGTATAAAGAACAATTTGAATTAATTTTGAAATGTTAGTATAGAAGTCTCATATCCATTTCATTAAAAATATGTTTATTGTATTAATTTTGCTGTCATGATTACAGAGGCTGTTTAGCATAATCAAATACCCTAGTTATTTTTACTTTCATTTTGAATGGACGTAAAGTACAAGTGGTCCTCACGTAATGGCCGTTCATTTAGCAACCATTTGAACTTAACAGTGGTACTGAACAAGTGTATCACAGCTAGTTCTCAGAGTTCTGGCCGCCTTTGCTGGCTTCCTATAAGCAAAGTCAATGGGGAAGCTGGCAGAAGATCACAAATGGAGACCACATGATATCTCCACTTAACAGCAGCAATGGAAGTGTTGGAATTTCTTTGATAAGTGCCATGGTCATGTGACATTGCTTTTTACAATTGCATCTCTTAGTGATGGAAATCCTGTTCCCAATTATAGGACTATCTGTAGTTGAAACTAGATTACATAGGCTCATTTTTCAAATATATCATAATTAATTAATTAATTAATTAATTAATTAATTAATTAATTGTATCTGTACTGCCTATTCCATAAGACTCTACACCAGACTTGGGTATTTTACAGCCCCCAGGCTACATCCCTTTGGCTGTCCGTGTCCGTCTCATGTGAGGTCAGTCGGAAAGTAGAAATTAAATATATGTAAGCATACCATAGAGGGCAGAAGAAGAAGGTGAGTTGAGTCCAGCTCTGTGCAGTTGCCATGAGTTCCTTCAGTCAGCTGGTGGCCACTGGAGAGCAAGAAAAGAAAGCACTTTTCTGTGCCTGTGTAGTATTGCCCTTGCCTGGAGCAGCCTAAGGAGTAGAGTTGATGAAGTTTGAGTACGTCAAATAAGGTTACATTGATTTGGCCTTCCACAACATCCCAATTTCTCATGTGACTCCTTGGAAAAATGAATTGCCTATCCCTGCTCTACATAGTTAACGATCATAAAACAGAATTAAAGAATAGCGATTAAACAGTTAAAAAGTCATTCCCCTGAAACTAAACGAAAATAGATCTTTGCAGAAAATAGCCAGCTATTAACCCTGTTGACATAAAAGTGACAGCCTGTTAATCTCTGAAGTCTCTGCAAACTAAAACAGGCTGTAATGAATTCCCAAGATAGCAAATAGGACCAGACGCTCTTTCTGTTCCTGCTTGATGCTTGTAAATCCATCCACCATTCTCGGAATTCCCTTCTTACCGCAGCCTCAAGAGCTTCGTCCCAATCATTCTGTACAGGGTTAGGTGAGTTTCTGCTGGAACACTATGCCTTCCAAAGCAAATGCAATAATAAAAAGAACACTGGACTTCATATAGTGCTTCGGTATTTGCATTCAACATACTTCTGAATCAAACTCTAGTGAATTTTACAGAAAGGCAATGTTTTGCAACCTAGTATCTGCTGTGTGCCTTCCTCCATCACTGATGCACAACCTCCAGTTTGAGAAACGTGATCTTAATCTGTAAAGTTCCTACAGAGTTAATGTGCGTGTATATGTACAAATTGATATTTTCTTACCCATCAGTTGTCTGTGTTTTTAGTTAATTTTTAATCTTCTTGAAAAGTAAAATGAAAATAAGCACATCTGTATTTTGCACAGGTATAGAAAAATTTGAAAGCAAAGAAAAGGCCTGGGAAAAGAGGCCATTTAGATTTCCCAGTCCTCCTCTTTAGTTTCTTTTATGTATTCATCTTGCAGTAATAAATAAAGTCTGTTTGCTGAGAAACTGCCAATATTGATTTTATATATTCAATTTAGGGTCCTTTTTCTGGTCCCTTTCTTGTTGATATGGAAAAGCAAAGAACTGTCAACTCTATTATTTTTCTCTATGTAATATTTGGGGTCATTTTCCTAATTTTAAGTTGCTTGACCTTTCATTCCATACTCTGAAAAATTCACAGCCTAAATGCATTTGTTTTCCCCAGTGTAACTAACAACTCTCGGATTTTAACTCTGTTGGCACAACTGGAGAAGATCAATACAGAATGTTTGGTAGAAGTGGACACTGCCAGATATGTTACATCAAAAATTCTTCACCTAGCTCAAAGTCAAGGTAAATATTACAGATATTCATTAATGAAGGTGTATGCATGCATCTGTATTACTCGTTTTCACATACATTCTACATGTTTAAACAATTATATTTTTGTAAAATTGATATAGATAGGTGAGAATCCATTTTCATGGGTTAGGACATGCATCTGGCAGTTTTGCAGCATGGCTGTTAAGCCTTAAACAAACCACCATTAAAAACAAATTCTTAAGTCAAACAAACAATTTAAGCAGTTGTTCTCCTATCTGAGCTGGCTAGTACATACATATCTTCAATTAATATTTTACCTCTGTAAGAGCAGTGTGGTGGCCTAGAGGTGAATATGCTCGCCTGCACTCAAAGATTGAGAGTTCAATCCTAGACAGCGACAGATGTTTCTCTATCAGGGCTCAAAGAGAAAATATCTGCTGCGAACTCCATGTCTAGCCATGAAATGCACAGCTGCATTCATTTGCTCTGACTCCACCTTGGTAAAGGGATTAAAGGGTCATTTAAAAAACAACAATCTGTGGTTCTTAAATCAACATCAAGAATGGATCCTAGGTGTTCAATTTTCAGTTTCTAGTGTTTTTCAGTTCTATTCCTGTCCATATATTGCACCAGTATTTTATTCTGAACAGAAGTAACAGATGATCTTTGTCTTGATCGGCCTGAGTTATCTCTTGAAATCTATTCTTTGTAATTTCAAATCCCTGGCTTTTAATTAGCTCATAATTATTAATAATCTTATTAATTACTAAAAAGTCCACTCTTTATCCTTGATTTCATCACCCTGTAAAGATCTATTGGGGAAAAAAAATCAGGTTTAAATTAAACGCAGTTTTATGCATTGTAAGATCACGTGTCTTATCAAAAAGTTGAATAGAAATCCTTTAAAAATAAATTTTCAATATGAATAAATAACTATTTTGATGATACATTTGGAACATGTATTTGGATTACATTTGGATTACTAATTCTATATTGTATCCATGCATTAGGAAGAAATATTAAGTCAATAATTAGAGAAATGTATTTTTCTTTTTGTTACCTTAATCACGTTTTAAGTGAAACCTTTGCTGTCACTTGGGATCAATCACTAGTTGCAAAGGTTAATGCTTAATTGTTACTACCACTTTTTACATATTTATTTTTTTTAAAAAACAAACCCCATCCCCTTGGACATTAGTATCTTAGTACTTAGCAATCACCACAATCTTTTCTGTTGCCTTAGGATGAAAAATAAGGGAGAAAGTCTCCACCGCTCTATATGATGAAATACTTAAAACAGTTCAGGTTTTGTTCTCTTTGAACATAAGTCACTTGACATGAATCAAGTAGGGATGTTTACATATAGCCTGGAATGAATTCTTTTTTGTTTCTTCCTTTTGTGTATACTATTAATCTTGAGCGAACTGAATATTTTTCTTACAGGATATAAGCAAGAATCTGTACCAAACTGTTACGATCTGAAAATATTGTTGCTACTGCCTTTTTCCGCTTATTCCATTCTCTATTTCAGGGGTATCAAACTCGCATTGTCACGGTGGTGTGACATGACATATCATGACTTTTCCCCCCTTTGCTAAACTGGGGGTGGGCAGTGTGTGATGCATCCAGCCCACCGGCCGCGAGTTTGACAATCCTGCTCTATTTTATTCCCGATTCTTCCTTTTCCCTTTTCATTTCCCCCCAATCTTTTCAATGGTCAGTCAGTATGGTCTTTAAGCATTCACATTGACTTTGGGCTGTTTTTCTCTTTGAAGGATTTTTCTTGTGGTAGGTAGAATTTCCTGGTTATAAAAAGATTGGCTCTTAGAGAATGCTTTGTTATAAAGAATGGCTAATATAATATTTTATATTTAAGAAGCTCAGACTTTAAAAATTCTAGATGATCCACAGTCTCTAAAATTAATTTGTTTATTTTGCTTTTGTGTACTTATCTTTTCTACACCTTTTAAAAGTCATATACATTTAAATATCAGTTTATCCAGTTAATAGTAGAATATACAACTTTTATTTCAGAAAAAATCAGAAAAGAAATGACTGCCAAAGGTTCAACAGGGATAGAAGTTATTCTCTCAACTTTAGAGGTAATAGTATAAAAAATTCATGTTTTCTTCCTCATTTGGGAGGTAATTTGTTTTATTTTTTCCAGGGCTACTATAGTGTGAAAGACTGGAGTTTTGCTATAGTGATGTAAACATTAATTGTGTATTGGATGCAGTTAAAAAAAATGGTATCTTTTGTTGTTTGCCCAGTGCTATTTGTTTAACATGGGAAAGCCAAAGGCATGACATAGCCTGAATTAATAGACATGTGCCACACTTTAGATTCAAATGCAGAAAAGAATATTTGGAGTGTGATGAAAACACTAACTGTATTTTTCAGAGTATAAGATGCACCTTTTCCCCCCAAAAAGAGGGTGAAAATCTGGATGGTCTTATACATTGAATACAGCATTTTTGCCGTACCAAAATTCCACTCCCTGGAGTGCTCCTGGGGCAGTGGTGGGTTGCAGATGTTATGCCCTGGTATGGGCGTACCCAGAGCCTGCCCAGAGCACCGGATATCATTCCAGTACAGATGTTCTGGAGGGCCCACCCGCCTGCCTGAACTTCTTACCGGTCTTTTAAGTCTTCGGCGCTTCCGTGCACGTGCATGGTGCGTACAGTGCCTGTGTGACGCTCCACTGAGCAGCTGGAGCGTTGTAGAGGCACTAAGAAGCATGCACACGCTGCATGTACTGCGCACATCCATGTGGATGCCGCCGGGCCCGTTCCAACCATATCAGTTGGGATGGGATCCAGAACCTGCCACTGTCCTGGGGGCTGGAGAGAGCAAAAATGAGCAAAAAATGAGCTGTTTTTGGCCCCCCCCCATTCCCCAAGAGCACTCTTCAAGCCTCCCAAAGCTCTGCTTGCCTTTTTTTGGAAAAAAAATGAGGTGTGCAGATGGTTTGGGATGCATGCAGAGTGCAAAACCCTTTAAAAAAAAATTACCTCTTAAAAATCATGGTGTGTCTTATATTCCAGTGCGTCTTATAGTCTGAAAATACGCTATAGCGCCTCTCTGTAATTGTTTAAATAAGCTCTCTCAAGCTGGAAAAAACTCTGGTGCTTTAAATACTTGTAGGTAGATACAACATGATGAGCCCCACATACTCCACAGCACATTTGTAGATTGCCAAACCTTAAAAATTAAGTTTTTGTATCACACTGTTGAAATTAGTGGTCAACAGACATGAGAAATATTGCACATAAAGCATTTATTTAAGTTGATTTATGTAACCACGCAACTTGAATGCGTTAAGATTCAGTATCCTAATGAGAGGAAGCTTTTGCAGGCTGTTAATTTTATTTAAGACTGTATAGTGATCATTTTTGTGTTCATATATAGATTATGACATAAATACTCTTGACTTTCTTCCTGTTTTTTCATTTCAGAACACAAGAGATTTTCAGACTATATTAAACATCTTAAATATCTTAATTGAATTGGTGGCGGCAGGCAAGTATTTATGTAAAATGATCATTTGTAGGTTATATATACTTAAAAAATGTCTAATATATATGAATTGTTACATTCCTATAGTGTAACATACAAAGTTTAGTATTTTAATGTCAAGAGAGTAAATAATTTCCTACATAAATTGGCAGTGGTCGTGTAAAAAAATCATGCCCTTATAAAATCAGTTTATTTTAAGATTGCGGCCAACAGCCCATATTTTATTTCTAGGCAGCAGTCGAAGAACAGGTTTTCTTGTTTCTCGAGGAGGGACACAGATTTTGTTGCAATTACTTGTGAATGCAAGCAAAGAACCCCCACCAAATGAAGAATTAATGGTGCTACTACATTCTCTTCTTGCTAAAGTTGGCCCAAAAGGTAAGTTGAATCTAAGTGAATGCCCAAATTTTTGCTTGTAGTGTGATGAGTACTGCTGGAATAAAATGCTGATTTTGCACAAGTGCAATCCTTCCTTGAATTGTGCCAACTGAGAAGGAATAGGATCTCCACACAATATTACAGGCAAAAGATTAAGAATGAACAAATTTGGAATGGTAAAAGTAATGTGAGCCTTTATTAGAATTCCAGGTAGTCCTTGACAGAACTATAATGGAGCCTGGAATTTTGGCCATGTTAAATGGGTCCTAAATCAAAGAACCAAGTGACCTGATTTTATATGGGTATTTTTAAATGACTGTAAAGCAAATCACTGCAGTCTTTAAGCAAATCACTTAGTCATTAAGTGTGTGACTGTGGGACACTGCAATTGTTTAAAAATACAAGCCAGTTGCCAGGCATTCAAAATACAATCACATGTCTCTAAATGTGTGGGTGTGTTGTGTGAGGGGCAATTGTAACTTTGAGGATGGATTATAAATAACTTTTTGAAAATCTGTTGTAATCTAGAATACTTGTTAAGTGTAGTTGTAAGTCAAGGACTACCTATATGCAGTTACACACCCTACTGTTGCTTACATAACGTTATGTTTGAAAGAGGTGTTTTTTCCCCTTAAAATGCTTATATTTATTTAGTTATTACATTTTTATCCCATCCTGATTTCTTTATAAGTAACTCAATAGGGCAAGCATAGATAATTTCTCCTCCTGTTTTACTCACAATAGGATTGGATAGGGCACCTAAAAATTGTTTTTCCCCAAACAGCAAACTCAAAAATTCTGCTCTTTGTCTTATTAAAGGGGATGTATATGAAAATGGGAGATAATTTAATTTGGCTGTATTACCAAAGCCTTAGGATACTTAGAAAGTATTGCCTGACACTAAATTTTTCCCTTTATGTTGATCTCCTAGACAAATCTTTATTTTTCTGATTTAATTCCACTGATATTTTATTCAGCTTTGACTCTTTATGTTGTCCTGCTAAAGACTTTATTCTTTCAGTGCTTACAAACTTTTTATTCTACACAGTAAGCTTTGAGAAGAGTAAAATGGAAGAGCAGAATAATGGATTATGGGAATAAATTTCCTGAAGCATTAAAATTAACCTGGACACACTTTGTCTATTATGTTTTGGATTTTATGTAGCTCTAACTGCTTGTATCCAACGACAACAACATTGACATTTTGAGCAGCAGTGGAAGCTATTACAAACTTAGGATAAACCTTAAGAAAACTTTCCTCAATGGAATAATAAAAATAACCTTTATGAATGTCACCCAGAGAAGAATTGCTTCTTACAAGTTATACTATTGAAGCAAGCAGGAAGGGTGTATTTATTTTTCAGGAAATACTAAACATAGCTTGAGCGTGGCTTGGCATTTAAAACACATGAAAATTTAGAGTGATTTGTAGCTGTGAAATAATTGTGTATATGACAGGTACAGTCAGTGGTGAATTTAATTAAGATCCCAATCTAATGACTTTTATTTCATTACAACAGTCATTAAAACATAGTGAGCCCAGAATCTTGGTCACTGAATAACACAGTCGTTAGCAGAGTTGCCAAAACCCTCTCTCTCCCCATCCCTCTGGGGAGAATCATTACAAGAACGATGATTTAGAAAAGGCTAGGGTTCACAAGTGTTTTCATCAGATTTAAGGTCCATTCCTCCAGTGCATTTTCCCTCCATGCACTGGGAGAAAATATTTGCAAAATATCCTTTACTTACATATGGCAATCACATGATAAGAAGGCATTTGGCAAACGGTTGTAAATATCAATGGGTTGCTAAGTAGCCAGTAATGCAGTAATGTGACTGGCACAGTTTTTTTTTTTTACAATGGGTAAACGACCAGCTATAAGTCAAGGACTACATACAATTAAATGTAGTTACTGTGTTACAGTATGTCAGTAAATTTGAATTGGAGAGATGCTCGTATTTCTGTCCCTTTTGGATTTTCAGATAGAAAATTTGGTGTAAAAGCCCGAATTAGTGGTGCTTTAAATATAACTCTGAACATAGTGAAACAAAACTTGCAGCATCAAAGGCTAATTCTGCCTTGTATTCAAGTGTTAAGAGTGTACTCAACAAATTGTGAGTATTGTTACAATTTTTTAACAATGTATATCCATTAATATAAGTTATCTTTCAGATTGTTGTCTTATTGAAATAGTCAACCACTTTTCATCTTCAGTTTGTGCACTGATGGAGGAACATTAACTTTTATGATACATTGATATTTAGTTGAATACATTGTTCTTTCCACATGTGTATTATATCTAGACCACATAATTCCCAAAGCATAACAGTTCCACCCTCATAGTTGATGGTTGGCATGATATTCTTTTCTCCAAATGCTTCAATCTTTTTTTCTTTGTCCTCTGAATATTTCTTGAGATCAAACAGTACAATTTTTCATCAGTCAAAAATGCTTCATTCCACAAAAGACTTGGAAATTTTGGACTTTTCAAGGCTTTTTTGCATGCTTTAGAAGTGTTATCATATAATTACAATTGTGTTTACATGCGACTACCGTATTTTTGGGACTGTAAGACGCACCGGAATATAAGACGCACCATGATTTTGAAGACGTAATTTTTTTAAAAAAAGTTTTTGCACTCTGTGGGTCTCCTAAACCCTCTGCACGCCTCATTTTTTGCAAACAAAAAAGGACATGCAGAGGCTTTGGGAGGCTTGAAGAGGGTTCCTGGGGCCTTGCCATATGCAAGGACAAAAGCGAACAAAAACAGCCTGTTTTTTGCTCATTTTTGTCCTCCCCAGCCCTCAGGAACACTTTGCAAGCCTCCCAAACCTTCTGCACACCCATTTTTGCAAAGGGGACAGGGTTTTGGTAGGCCAAAAATGCTGTATTCAGTGTATAAGATGCACCTAGATTTTCACCCTCTTTTTTGAGAGAAAAAGGTGCGTATTATACTCCAAAAAATACGGCATATGTTAAACCATAAATGAATGAGTGTTGTGAATAGATAGAGGGGAAAGTTTTATTAAGTATTGCATTACCAACTTAAATCCATAGATGATGGTTACCAAAATCTCCAGCATCTATCATTAATAACACACTGTTAGTAAAATGCTTATTAGTTAGGATTCATTCATCAGAGATTAAAATGAAGATTCTTAAATTTGATTATGGGAATATTAGAATAATGTTTGCAAAATAAATATTATTAAATATTTATTGTATAATAAAACGTATTTGGCATTTGATTGGTTTATCAATTCTAAAAATCAAATATGTTATATGAATGTATGAGAAATACTGAGGTTACCTAGGAATGCAGTAATGCAGATGTAGATTCCCCTCCCCCAAAGTCTTCACTTAAGATAATTTACCAAATATATATGCATATATATCTTCCATTAACCTGAACAATAGTATATCAAGTAATTAGACTTGATATCTGAAATCATACTATTTAAATAAAATAATTGAAAAAGAAAATATTTTTTGGTTTTGTGAATAGTGGCAGCAGTACCATGTTTATATACTGATGTAGATTGTTGTTTTTATTTTTAGCTGTAAATGCTGTTTCCTTGGGTAAGAATGGAGTTGTGGAATTGATATTTAAGATAATTGGGCCTTACAGTAAGAAAAATACTGCCCTTATAAAGTAAGTAGAACATCTGGACATGTTTGCATAACTTTTGCAATGTTAAAGATAATCTTTAAAATATGATTGTACCTAGTAGATAAAATGGGAAAGCTGAGATTATTTTAATACCTCTTTGGTATACAAAGGAAAATAAAAACAGGAAATTAGGGGAAGGAAAAAGAGAGGGGGAAAGAAAATATGAGGTACAAGGGGAAAAAAGAAAAACATTTCTATAGCAATCTGTAAACGTTTCACTTACATTCTTGTTTGTTCTGTTTATAGGGTTGCTCTAGATACCCTCACTGCACTTCTAAAATCAAGTAAGTGCACGATGCAGTTAGAGAGCATATGGAATGTGACCAGATTAATATTTGATTTTGCAGATAAAGCAAGTGAAAATTAATATTCCATAAAATACAAATTGTCTCAGCTTGTATACTAAAATCATGAAACAAGAAGTGATTTGAGATATAGAAGAATTGGTAGTAGATACTGTAAATGTTATCTACATTTTGAAATAGTAACGACCTTTTTTTGCCTTTTTTCTTGGGACTGCTTCTAGTATCTTTTAATTAAATATACCCCTACACATTCTTTTCCTGAAATCTCAGTGAGATTTCTAAGTTATTCCACAACAAATATATGAGCATTTTAAGATGAGGTAGTAGTGTATGAGTTGCTTACAGATATACTCTACATATATAATTTTGAATGGGACTTGGAAGTATATTACTTTCCAGTCCTTGATTTCTGCCCTATATTGACTTATATGTACAACAGTACAACAGGTTATTCATAGCTGTTATTTTGTACTTGTTTATCAGCTGATCCTAAAAGCTATTTCAGATGTTTCTCTCTTAATATTTTATCATAAATGTAGTAGTAAGGGAAGAAATAAATTCTATGTTCATTCTAATTCTATATTACTCCATTATTCATTTGCTCTCATAGTTGCAAAAGAAATATCAGGTTGTTTATTTATTATAATACAGCTCTAAATCTTTTTTTCTTCAAGAAACAAATGCACGGAGAGCTGTGGATAGAGGCTATGTCCAAATGTTGTTAACAATTTATGTAGATTGGCACCGTCATGATAGTCGGCATAGACATATGTTAATCCGCAAGGGAATCTTGCAATCTATTAAAAGCATTACCAATATCAAGCTGGGAAGAAAAGCATTTCTAGATGTTGATGGGATGAAAATTCTGTACAACACCTCACAGGTAAATTTTAAAGACGTTTTTGCTATTATAAAGGGTATATATACAGTACAATTCAAATGGTAATATAAACATTTTGTAGATAAAAAATATAGAATCCATATATATTTTAATTCTTCAGCTGAAAAATTATGATTCACAAGAAAATATATTCAGTGTGCACTAGTATATTTGATACTTAGATGTTTTACAACCAGTCTTCATTTAACAACTGCCTCAGATACTGACCATTCACAAATATGTTGATAATAAATGGTAATAAAAATTGATTTTTCTGATCAACAACTCTTCAGTGTGTAATTGATTAATGTCTGGTCACTTTCAGGCAGCTGCTGTATCCAGCCATGGGTTCTAATCAACTAATTAAGGTTACAAAGCTGAATTTGTTAACTTGTAGTTAGCTCTTAGGAAAATGCGGCACTGTAGAGAAAAGCAGCTCAGGAAGAGATAGCTTATTTAAGCCCTCGCTCTGTCCTGTAAAGAGACCAAATAGAAGAAAAATATGATCAGTCACAGTTGCTTTATATAAAGAACATTTTCTGAATGTGATGACAGTTACCAGTGATCTTTGAAATCTGTCCCTCCCTCCCTCCCTCTCTCCACTGTTTTGCTTAATGAACAAGTCATTGGAACTAATTGCAGTTGCTAAATAAGAACTACCTATATTGCTAATTGGTAGTATATTTTATTAGTCATAGCTCTTTCTGACCAAATAAGTTTTTATTTCTAAAAAAGCACTCTGAATGGGTGCTTTTTACGGAATGTCTATACTGATATGTGGTATAGCAGGGGTCCCCAATCCCTGGTCCATGGACTGGCACCGATCTGGTTCATGCCAGAAACCGGGCCTTGCAAACAAGTGGAGCTCCATCCACGGGATGCAGGGACCATGCGAAATCACACCCTCTTTGGTCCATGGAAAAACCTCTCTCCACAGAACCTGTCCCTGATACCCAAAAGGTTGGGTGCCACTGTATTATAGGATCCCCAGATTTTAACAATACTGCTTATATAAATTATCCATAAGAAACAATATAAAATCCCTAATCAAAATGTATCCATTCATAAAGCAGCCATGATACACAATGCAAAACAGACTAAGAAATGTATAAACAAATCCAATTACATAGCAAATAGTCCACACAAAATCTTCCTCCTATAAATGCATACAAGCTCAATGGTACCATTTATAGTGATAACAGATGCTATATGCCTTATCTATCTTTTGAACCTTTTCTCAATGTGGAGCTAAGTCTGATTACAGTCTGTTTCAAAAGACAGCTACAACTGCTGACATTCCACCCCACCCCCCTTTTTCATGGAAATGGAATAATCCAGAGCCTTTTCCAGAACAACTAACTCAGCAGGTTAATTATAGTTAGAGAATATGATCCTAGATCAGAGATCAAAACCACCACTTTAAAATTGCACCCAAAGGTCTTACAGTGTACTTTAATGTGCACTCACCGAGGGAGGCCTTATTAGCAAATTGGACGCTATATTTTTCACCAGGATCAATGACCTGGTAAGCAGATACTGACTTGAAAGAACAAAAGGGGTAGGAAAGAGTCAGCCAATGAAGACTGGGCAAGTCTTGCTCATATCCTATATCCTATGGTTCCAGGGTGAGGATATCAGTTTCTCTGCCGGTATAAGTGTTCTCTCTAGAAGCCCTTGGGAGTTAATAAGAGCTACTTGATGGAAGAAAAAAAGAAGGCTATAAAGTGCAAAAGAACAAACTATTTGAAGTTGGCTTTCGTGTTTGCTGCATCTCTGCCATTCCAATATTGTTCTCTATTTATTCTGAAATAAACACAATTATTTTCAACTAATTGCATGGAAATTTTCAATTGTTTTGTTTGTGGTTTATTTCTGAATAATGAAATGGCGTCAGAGCATAACGCATAATCACGCTGATACTATAGGAGTTCAACATAGACAAGATTCATATTATCATTCAACATTTTAGATTTTCTAGTACAAAGAAAGAATTGCCTAAGAATTGCTGCACTTTGAAATAATTGCAACATTTGTATTGCCATTTCCTGTTTAATGTTGCAGCGGCTTGTTAGAATTGCGTTTTGTGCATGCATATAAGTTTATGTAAGAACATAAATGAGGCAAGAATTCTATTCTAAATGAATTAAAATATACTCTCTTTGTAACGTCAAGTTATAGTTTATAAAATATTTTATCTTCTGTAATTTAATATATGAGTTTACTTCTATAATAGGAATGCCTTGCAGTAAGAACTCTGGATCCACTTGTCAACATTTCCAGTCTGATAATGAGGAAATGCTATCCTAAAAATCGTCTTCCATTACCGACCATTAAAAGTGCTTTCCATTTCCAACTACCTGTTATGCCTGTTAATGGACCAGTGTATCAGCTGTATAGTTTGCCTCCTGAAGGTATGAGCAATTTTAAAACTATTTAATTTAGAATCAGAATAGGGATGGAAGGGACTTGGAAGTCTGCTAGTCCAGCGCCCTGCTTAAGCAGGAGATCCTATACCATTTCAAACAAGTGACTCTCCAGTCTCTTCTTAAAAACCTCTAGTGATGAAGCATCTACAACGTCTGAAGGCAACATTGTGGTCTTGTCTAATTTGCCCTAATTTGGGTATTTGATGCCTGTTCCTGAAATTCTATTATCACAGTAAAAAATATCTCTTGTAAAATAATATTTTAAAAAATTAATATGCATTCTTGTACTGTATAATTGCTACAAAACTAAAATGTATACCTACAGCACCGTAATTTTAATTTTGTTCTACTGAGCAAAATCAAATTCTTAAATTCAAATCGTTTTCGGTGATTTTATCTTCCATCAACCTGTTTTATTGGTAGTATTGGTTTTGTCAAGTGAAATAGTGCACCAACTTCCTCCTTGTCACCCCTCCCTCAAATATTTCTGGATATTGGGATGGGCATGTTCCTCAATAGTAAGAGCTGTGCTAGATGGCATTGCAGTCAGAAGGAGGAACAAAATTAAATAACAGTTATAATTTTGTTAACAATATCTCACTTATGCACCTAGAAGAGGGGATGGTTCTGTGTGAATGGGTGCAAGTGTGTGCATATGGAGCTCCATTTGTGCGAGCAGTGTGCATGTGTACCTGCCACTCATACAAATGGAGCACATATGCAAATGCTCACCTCTGCTTGAGCAAGTGGGAATGTGCATGTGTCCATGCTCATTCTCTGTTTCTGCAGCCTAGTGGCAAATAGTTCACAGCCCATTAGTGGCCTGTGGCCCGAGAGGTTAGGGATCCCTGGTATACAGTAAAGAGAAGGCTGTCTTGCTTCTCAAATGTAGGAACTACATGCTTTGGGAGTCATTCTATAACTCTTGAAGCTTAAAGTTAACAATGAATAGGTTTGTAGATAAGCAATGTGCATGCTCTCAACTGAAAAGGTGAACTATGTTTCTATTCATAAAAAATATGCTTTTTCTGTAGAATAAAATTATACTGAGACAGCAATAAAAGTGTATTGTGGATAGGTTAGATGCTAGACAACAATAACTGTAGGTTCTTGACCATAAAACACAATAATAAGTACAGGATAGAGGCTTAAAAATAATAAATTAAACTATTAATATGCCTGGTTCAAGTGGACTATCTTTGCCTAGTTCTGAAATGTTAAGAACATTGGCCTTACTTTCCACAAGACTTGGCTGGGGACTTGGGAGTATCACACTGAAGGTAGTTGTTGGACCAGTAGTAGATCCCATCTCCCCCTGCGCATCTCTGCTCCCTTCCTTCCCATCTTTGAATGACCCGGGTTTTTTGGCCTGATTGGGGGAGGGGGGGATATTAAATATGGAAATGTGGCAAAAGAGAGCAGAGGGAAATTGCTCCAATTCCTTCCATAAAATAAAAATAAAATGGATTGAAATTGTACAGCCAACTTTGCTTTCAGCATTTAACTCATTGTGTGTGATAGGGCTGATCCTGGTATCAAATGCACACTTTCAAGCATTTTTTAAAATGGAAAGTCTGTATTAAAATACTGTTAGTTGCCAAAATAAGTCAACAAAAATTTTTAATAGCTACAGTCTGTTAATTCTGGCTTAGATTGAGAGAAATATCAGTGTGTATGGAGTGGGGGTGGAGGAGTAAGGTCAGCCAAATATTATTTCCCCACCCATAAAACATTTTTGGGCACTCTGGGACCTTCTGTTCCCTGCAGTATATCTGGCAGGGTGTATTGCAGGGAGATAGAACTGCTGAACATAAATTGATGTGTCTTTAAATGAGTGGGATATGAGAACTGTTGTGTCCCATTTTTCAGCAAGTCCTGTCTCTATCTCCTCCACTTTAGGACCCCTTCCAGGTTTTCAAAATAAGTTTTCAGAGAATGAACTATTAATTAAGAGTTTAATATACATAAGCACTGTCATTCTGTAGTCTACCTAATGAACCTCCTGGGTAAAATACTGAATAAACCTGTTTGTTACTGTATAATTAAATATACAGCACATGGTGTCATGGAAAGTTAAGTTTTTATGTAGTATTAGGTTCCAGTTGATGAGTGAGAAGTTTCACATGCATCATTTCTTTTCTGGGATATACATATTGTAGAAAACGTACATCTGCCCTACTTATAGAGCATTTTATATCACAGTGGATGACGTAGTAGATGAAAGTGATGACAATGATGACATCGACACAGAATCTGAGGTTGAAAATGATAACGAAGATGACATAGATCAACACTTTAAGGTTAGTAATACTTTTGAAGAAATAACATATATTCTAAAAATATTATTTTTACCCTTCAGAGAAGTTGCTTATTTGAATACTGGAAAACAGTGTGTTTTCCAAATAATGAATACATTGAATGTACTTTTAATAGACTTACAGTAAAAAATAGGAAGGTAATAGTGTTGAAACATACATTGATAACTTTTAAAACAATAATTACACTTGGGATTGCAGTGTTTCACAAAACCACCATATTTTTCGGAGTTCAAGACATACTGGAGTATAAGATGCACCCAGGTTTTGAAGAGGCAATTTCTTTTTAAAAGTAGGTAGGTAGATAGCGGGAGACAGAGGGAGAGAAAGAGAGAGAAATACAGTAGGTAGGTAAGGAGAAAGAGAGTAGGTAGGTTGGTAGGTAGATAAAGGGATAGAGAGAGAGAAATACAGGAGGGAGGGAGGGAGGGAATAGGTAAAGGGATAGAGAGAAATAGAGAGAGAGAAATACAATAGATAGGGAAAGAGAGTGTAGTTAGGTAGATAAAGGGATAGAGAGAGAGAAATAGAGAGAAATACAGTAGATAGGGAGAGAGAGAGGTAGGTTGGTAGGTAGTTAAAGGGATAGAGAGAAATAGAGAGAGAGAAATACAATAGATAGGGAAAGAGAGTGTAGTTAGGTAGATAAAGGGATAGAGAGAGAGAAATAGAAATACAGTAGATAGGGAGAGAGAGAGGTAGGTTGGTAGGTAGTTAAAGGGATAGAGAGAAATAGAGAGAAATACAAATAAAGTAAATTCAAATTCAAATTAAATACAATAAGATAGGGAGAGAGAGTGTAGTTAGGTAGGTAGATAAAGGGATATATATATATATATATATATATATATATATATAT